TGATGATGATGATGATGATGATGATGATGATGATGACTTGTGGCTTGCTGACTGACTGTCATGGTTCGTTGGAACCCAGTGAGCTTCGAACTAGACTTCTTAGACTCACCTAGCAGGACCTTTGTCCTCTTGATTCTGCAGTCCATTAAATCCCTTGATGGGATAGTCAGGTGACTGGATCCAGCTTCGCACTTCCACTGGGTCATGAATTGACTGTCTGCAGGAATGGATCGGCTTATTCGTAGACCATCAAGCTTTCAAATATTCATTTTCAATAGGAAAGAGGGAGTTCGCACTGTTTTCTCCAGTAAACATTTCGTGCAACTTTATTCGTTTGGTTGGTGTGATCGACAGAGCATCTGTTTCAATCAATAGGGGAGTTTTNAAGAGTGAGTTCGGACTGTTTTCTCCAGTAAACATTTCGTGCAACTTTATTCGTTTGGTTGGTGTGATCGACAGAGCATCTGTTTCAATCAATAGGGGAGTTTTGATCAGACGATAACTCAGGTGCGCATTCAAAGTACACCGATATATCAATTTGGCTGATGGGTAACTGTTTAAAACAAATCACGTCCAAACCACACGACATCCGTTGGTGCAATCCGCTATAACGGTATTCCGATCTAGACTGGATTCAGCAACATATTCTGGTTTCGACTGCGTCCTTTTGTGATCGCGAATGATAAAGACAGAAGGAAGAGTCAGGTACTTACCATTTCCGAACTGAATCATCAGAGTATGTACAAACGTGTACACATTATCCATATGGTTTGGTTCAACCATTTATTCAACACCTAATAATAATCGTTCAGCTGTAACATTGTTTGATGTAAAACGTGATCGTAATGCGTGTTTTCAAAACGACCAAGCGCACAGTGTGTTCGCAAACGAAGGTACTATCCTCAGAGTGAACTTAGAATGGCATGCAAACTCACACATGTCGAGGAATGCTCGCAGACACAAGAAATACTACCTTACAGTAATAATAAAACCGAGAGTTGCATGTGGGAATGGAAAGTTGTGGCAGAAACTAAGCTGGTTTATAGAGTTTGACTGTCAGAACTAGTTTTGTTTTCATGAACGAGACTAATTATGAGGGTGCTGAAAAAAAACTCCGACAACACACGACCGGTTTCGCGCTTTTCGAGGCTCATCCGAAAGGCGCGATCCCCGATTTTCTGCTTGGATCCAAATTAGACGAGACCCGACAAATACATTTGTGAAACTTGAGTTCAGGTAGAACATAAGGTTGACGAAAACTCGGGGAAGATATGCAAAACGATCGCGGAGTGTCGAGGAGTTTTCACCAAGCTTATGAATCGTTTCGTTCACGAAAATATATACTGCGATACCTCAAGTATCGTACTAAATGAAACAAAAGGCCGTTTTTGTGCAGCACATTCAGTTCAAGGATATCGTAAACGATCTGTTCATCTGAGATTCAGGCGAGTCTCCCTGCAAAAACCAAACCGATATACAAATGAGTGTATCTGTTGTAGAACTAAGTGTTGTTTTAGTATGGGTTGGACGACATATCACAGTCACTGTCTTGGAGAATTGCACTCATTTGCAAACCAATTTGGTTTTCACGAGAGACTCAACTGAACATCTCGTTTGTGATATCTTACGACTGAATGTTAGCAATGTTGTAGAATGTAGGTAGCTCGGGGGCGTTGCTTGGTTGTTGGTCTGTTCGCCGAGCTTGGCAGTTGGATTGCAAACGTTTCATCACCAATCGAGGTGACTTCGTCAGTGCAGGGTTGAGTGGCACTGACGATGTCACCTCGATTGGTGACATCGTTCACACAGGCCGCCTCATGCTTAAGTTGGCACAATATTCGACATATCGTAGTATATTTTCAGTTGAGTCTCTCGTGAAAACCAAATTGATTTGCAAATGAGTGTATTTCTCGAAGACAGTCCAATTTGGGTTCAAGTAGAACATAAGTTTGACGGAAACTCTGGGACTGCGCCTACCTGATGAGCCCGAAACAGAAGGGCGAAACCGGTCCTGGGCTGTCGAAGAGTTTTCGGCAACCTTGTGAGTAGTTTCTTTTGTGAAAATTCTCTGTCTTCATTTCAGGAGACATACTGCGGACATATTCCAAGTTCGAACCCGTCCTTCCGGATAAAAAAACATTGCAAAGACAGGCTCTTTGTTTTGAGGGTGTTTAGTTTTGGAGCGTCGGTGTCAGTAATTGACTCAGATATGGGTTGTTTATCTCAAGTGCATCTCATTTTCACCTCAATTACTAAGTTCCATACTCAAATAAAAAAGGACTTTTTGAGGTTAGGGAACTAGGTCTTCATTGATGGGCCCCGAAAACGGTGAGGACAGTAGTGAGACATTGTTAAATCCTGATCAGCCTCCAGGGAATTTAAAGTCAATTCATCCATTCTATCTTCGATGGTATCTCCACACTCTAATACTCCCTGGATTAGGGGAAAAAGCAAGCACTTATTTTCGGGAGGTGCCATGAGATCATTGCACTATTTCTGGTCTATCTGTTTCCAAAGTGGTCGGGTTTATATCATCTTGATAAGTTTTCAAAGGCATCACGCGCGTCCCTGTATGTCTTCTTATAGTTTCGATGGTAGATAGGTTCATTGCCATTCGGTAAGTAACTCAAGGAATATTGCTTATGTTCATAGCCACCCCATTCTAGTTTGAACGGTCATCCTCGTGATCTGGCGTAAGTATTTCGGTGAGTCCACGTCAAAGGGAAGCACTGGACTCGAGTTTCGCCCTTACTAGAGCTCATCAGCAGTGCATATCCAATGGCCGTGCCGGGATTTGAACCCCGGACATCTGACATGCGAGGCGAGCGTGTAACCCCTACTCCACCACAGCACGTTGGACACATCTGAATTTTTGCTACTGAACAGGCGAACGTGTTCACGCTTGAGCGATGTGATTGGTGTGCCCGACTCATTGAACGACGACCCAGTGACTGTCCTGGTTGATCGATTGACCCGCCAGTCAGAACTTTCCAGTCAAGTAGCATGAAACCCATTGGGCAATATTTTGGTTGCAGTTTTGGGGTTTTGAGGGATAGAGATTTTGTTCATATTGCTTAAACTAAAAAACAGAAACTGTCATGCTATAAATGCGGTTTCCCCATTGTCCCCATGGACCACTATTTACAACCATGTGCGAATTTTTAAGGATTGCTCGACAGTTCGACAGAAATACAGAATTCCTCTAATGATTGGAGCAGTTTGCACTGTTCCGTAAAGTGGGCTATAGCAGATCTTCTGGAAAGAAGAGACTTGTGCCAAAGACTACTACTGTCGGTGTGCTTCGAGAGTTTTTCACCTCTGTAGTGTTCCATTATACGATCAATAGAAACCCTCCCGTTATCAGTGGCTTTTATGGTGGAAGGTAACTGCGGGATATCCTTCTCGGGCTTTACTCTGCTGAAAGTGTTCATTTCAACGGTACCATACCGCGGTCACAGTTATCCGGACCAGTATCGATTGTTAGCATGTGCGATTACCGGTTGCGAGGCTTTTAGCCTCAAGTTTTGCAACAAAACGCCTGCTTTAGTATCTCTAATTTTAATCGTGTTATTTAAAACCCGACTAGATTCTACCTCTTCAATCCGGAAAGCAACCCGTTTGAGATTTTACAATTTCCAAAAGGTCACGAAAAATCATCTTCAAAATTCAGCTTTTTCCCCGAAGAAAAGAGAAGAAAAATACAGCTAGTTAAAAGTGAATGTTTCATGAGAGATTAACACAGAGAATAAACGGGAGAACAGCAACGCTATGTGCAAAGTAGAAACGCGAAACAAGAATGATGGGAAGGCCTGTCAACACCGCTGGGTTGAACAAGCAAATTTGCCTTTGTAAAGATCCACACCCTTCACACTTAGCAACGCAAAGTTTTGACAAATGCCAGTATCACCCCACCCCATTGAAAGATACCTGTGTTACAACAAACTAGCGTTCCAGGAGGTGGTGGTGATGATGATGGGTACAGCTATAACTTTAACTATCCCCCCCATAGAGTACCACTCGTTATTTATACTCTCGCTTGTTGACAAATTACGACCGTTTACGCGTGTATGTGTCCGCTGTTGTGCCTTAGGTGTGAAGTGCCCATGACAAGCACAATGACATATATGACTGTATGTTTGGATATTCCCCGTGTGTGTGTGTGTGTGTGTGTCTGTTTACAAATGGCACCAAACACGCGCACGAACAAGGGTCGGTCCGAGAGCCAAAACTCACGATCGTCGCCTGTCATTTTACTGTCAGCAAGCTACAGAGAAACCAGTGTTACAACGAGTCCAGCGCGTTTACGCGTGCTTATGTGACATACAGCGCCTTGCCGTACTCTTTTTAAACCCATATAGTCGTTGCCCTGGCAATTAGGAACAGCTGGTGCCATATTTTAGTCTCGACGAGGTTCGGTTACTGCTGCTGATGCCGCCGCCGCTGCTGTTGCCACAACCGTCGCTCCAACTGCGACTGGTCTGTCACCCCTGGTCCTACTTTCACGCATGTCTTGTATGTTCCGCTCCGAATCAGACATATGCGATTGATCATCATTAGTATTAGTGTCATGCTTTGAAATTTGTCGAAAAAAGAAATAGCTGTGCGTCGTTGGAGGGGAACGTCTTGATCAGTCTGCTTTCCCGGTCACCACCACCCAGACTGTGTGAAGGACAAAGTGGTGATAAAACTTGTTCGTGTGATATTTGAATCGGGTAGATTAATCATACTGCCAAGTTAAATTTCCAGAGTGAAGTAGGATGCAATTTAGAATGGGCTAGAAACAACTGTACTCTTAGAGTTTTTAATTTGAAAAGACGAAGAAGCGTTCATCTTCCGATTAGAGACACAATTCAGTTGACTGGCACGAGTAATTGGGTGCATCTTAAAAGATACAAACGGATTGTTTTAGATTCACGGGAAGCTAGTGGTCGCTCCGCTGGAGAATTGACTATAGCGTCATCTATCGGCCATAGTTTAAGGTACAAACCTCAAGAGGGTCAGTGAATCTGTCTATAAGACCGAAGCATAATGTACCTGTGTCAGTATGTTCTCCCTCCAGACAATCTATTGAGGCTTGACTGCCTCACCTGTAAATACACATACATCCCATGCGTTAAATTTCTTCGGATGAATTCCCAGCATCATTTATCGAGTGATTTCCACCACCATCAAGTATGAAATAAACTTACCTGATAACCAACAGGTTTTAAGCAATGTCCTTGCAATAACTAGTTGAGCGTGTGAAACTGTTTACTTGTACATAACCCATGAAAACCTTAACTGTTTGTTTGAATTGGCTGCGTTCCCATTCGGCTCTGAGTTTTTTCGGTGTACATCTGTCCTAACAGTGTTGAATCTATGCGTTGATTCTTTCCTTGTATCCATACTGGATACAACGTGATTCGGCGTTTTGTTATTTCCGTTTTGTGCCTGTACCACCATTCTTGTTTTGATTTGAGTGTAAACCGCTCCCTGACCTTGTCATCGCGAGGCTAGTTCAAATCAGCCACGTGGGCTTCGCCGTCTTGTGGCCACTTCGTCTTGAGTCGTTGCGAACTTTGGGTAGGCGTAATGTTTCCTACCTAACTGTTTGTACAGGATCCCTTTTGGAGTCGATCGACGGTTCCTGAACCGCGGCCTTGAAGCCGGTGTATTCCCAAGATTTGTGGATAGACCTTCAATTGAACGATTCGACTTTTGGGGTTTCGCGCGCAACTCAACGTGGCCCAATGGATTACTGGAAACAATCAATATACGATCAAATTTGATCTCACCAGAATCCTAAGACATCACGTCGTACGGTGAAAAGCCATTGAGGCCAGCACAAGCCTAATGCAAGGAACTAGGATATTTAAGATAATTCGACGTCCTTTAGTACTCGTCACCAAACATTGGCGCTTTAGCCTTGGGATTATGTCTCAGCGGTCTCGGATAGGTTTACTCCATAGAGTAGGGCAGGGAATGTGCGGCAATCAATGATTTATTTAGTTAAATACTGTGGTTCATGTGCGGTTCAGCTGCTATTTCTCCCACGTGACCTCTGTGGGAAGACGGACAGAGTCAGTCCATCAAAACTGACGATATTTTTCATCTGTTTCAACTTCAGCGTGTTTTCGTGCCAAGAAAATGGAGCCATGAACATTTTTTGCCCTCGGCTATATAACTACCCTTCTTTTTTCCATGTCCTTTCAAAAGCAGTCCAGATAGGACTATCTGTAATCATTGAAGGTCACCTGATTAGCCTGGCTCTCAGCAATTCCAGCTTGCGTTGGTATGCAGATTCGGCTGCAAACTCTCGATTTTCTCGATACTGAAGCAGGAGAATGACTGGAAACTTGTTCACCAAAGTTTCGGTAGAACAAGTGTTGCCGTGGTGTATGCTTTGCTCGTTCTGGTGTCACCGTACACGAACAGCTCTTCTGCTCACTACGGATGATCTGGATTCTTCAGTCGACTCAAACGACTAATTCTGTTGCAGATATTTGGAGCGTAACTGTGATCAAGCACTGAGCACCAAGCATCGTGGCATCAAAAGAGTCCACGAGTCTCGCACATTTCACATACAACCCAGTGGGAGTGACCTTGGGAAAGTTTCGTCCTTTTCCAACGAGCAACATAATCCTGTGAAAGTTCTCTCTGTATCAAATATCAGCCTAACCTTAATCCAGCCGACAGCAGCTTGAGGGAATGACGTTATGGAAATGTGAGTATTGTCAGTAAGACTGGAGTGGAGAAATTCAAAGGTGACCTCGATCACTTTCCGTATACGTTGCATCACGCGACCAATGTATTTTACGAAATATGTAGACCGGATGCTTGCGGTGTTCCCGTGTTTGGCATGTATAAGTCCAGGAAGGAGAACGTTTAACCTTGAGCACCCGACGGGTGAACGAACATATGAGCCCTTAATGCTACCCATAGGATTGATGAGGATCCAAATATATCTTAGCGAAATACACTCATTTGCAAACCAATTTGGTTTGCAGTGCAATACGAGTATACCAAATATATCTTCCCAACTGAGACATCAGGAGGTCTTGGTGAAGCAACTTTAGTCGATGAACACTGCAAATGGGCCATTCAGCTGGGATTTAGTAGGCTCTGCCGTGGAAATCAAATTAGTATGCGAATGAGTGTCTACCAAGACGAGAGTTGAGTCTCCCCGATCGGCCACTTGTTTGAGAGCTTTTCGCATATGAACCGAATTTGCTGAGCAACAGCAGGCCTCCTGTATTCGCATATGAACCGAATTTGCTGAGCAACAGCAGGCCTCATGTAAAACTGAACCGGCAAAAAGGCCACTGCGGTTCCTGTACAATGCAATGCCCTACGCTCGAGCCACTCTCTTCGGACTACTCCGTCAAATTTCTTTCATGAGTATTGTTGGATCGTTTCCTACGATCCTCGTTGTAATAACGAGTAAATTTAGTCTCAACGAATGGAGCTTCACTGTTTCTCTGCTGAAACCTCCCAATTGAGTCAAAGTTTACAGAAGTTTCACCCCATTCCTGAACCTTGTAAAATGTTTGATCGGTTTCTGTAAGTGGCCACCTGTTTCAGTGTCTATGCAACCTGTCGTTTTACAGTCTGAGATGTGCGCTGACTTTTTGCTTAGGTTCATCGTGAGGTCTGAAAGTTCAGCCTCACCTAGCCAAGTTGGGCCAGATACCCTGCAGTTTGGACGCAACAACACATCAAAATCACTTGATACGTCTTATGGTACGACATTCTGTTTACCGATGGAGCATGCAACTTTTCAGTTTGGTTTTGGTCAATTAATTGACATTGGTTGATGAAGTGAAGCAGGACAGCGCGTAGTCATTAGGACCCTCATTCTAACCAGTATGATTTACGAGTTATCAAGAATACCTGCTGTTCGCAAAAGAGTCAATTCGTACAGCGGAAGTTCATTCAAAATAATCATGACTTCTGGATATTCCCAGTCCTAGGATCGGCTGGAATAGCCGCGCTAATGTCTCAATTATTACGTGCTACTTATTGAAATTAAGTAACGTAAAATATATGAAACATTGCCTATCGACCTCCTTGTTACGGCCCATACGTAGTTGATACAATTTGTGCTTGTTTTTTAATTTTTCTCAGATAAATTCATTAGTGATTGAAATTTTGAAAGAACCAATCTGTTTTATGGTCACTGTGGACAACGGAACTAAGGCGGCGTCATTCTTGATTTCTCAGTATAATTGGGTTAACTTTTTTTCAGTTTGTGTTGCTGTGAGTGACCACATAATCATTTTTAGGGCCCGGTGAACGCAGTACATGCGGTCTCCTTAAATACCATCCATATAACTGCCTGATCCATTACATAACTTTCTGCAGGTCTAGTTGTGTAGTTGTATTTACTACATGCAAGTTCGAAGTGGCACGATGAACAAAATTACCTCGGCTGGGTAAACGATTACATATCGCCTGAGAAGGGAGTGACAGAAACCATAAAAAATCAACAAGGAAGACTGACGTGCATCTAGTTGACGTTGGCCACTAGAACGTCAAAATCTCTTAAGAAACGGTTCATCGTACGCTCATGTGATGGGTCCGAACTCGTGCTCATGTTTGGGGACTGTTGTGGTCGTAACCTTTATTCCATGAGTGATCTTGTAAGGAAATGCTCAACCAAGCAACAGACGCACTGAGGGGGAGTAATAGGTTGATCACAGAACTCTAGCAAAAGTGCTATGATTCAATAATTTCTCATGTTCTACCCATTCCTCTTCGTAGTTGAATTCATTTCAAAGGTTGAATAAGACGGGTTTGCGCAACTTCCGTGTTTCGAGTCCCCAGGTCTGTTTTTTGGTTCAGCTGTTCGTGATAGGTTCGTCGCGGATGTGAACTAGCAGACCCGCAATGAATAGTTGCTGTTTCATTTCTATCTGTCTCTCAACTCCCTCTGGACCGAATTCGAGGGGTTAGACTCTGCCGTGTATGCACTAGCGTTTTCTGTACTGTTTTACTATGCTTGTTTGACTTTTATCTGTGCAAAGTACTGTTGTTGCTGTTACCTGAGCGGACGCAATATCTGACTAAGATCTTTTTTACTAGTAGTTTTGACCAAATCGTGAAATCCAGGAAGCATCGAGACAGACTAACTAATAATGCGGTCTCGCGGTCGTTGTGATGATCATAAAGGCTGATGAAACGAACAGCTGCACTTGTTAGTGGCAAAAAAGGAGGGGCTACAGACGAGTGCGGCCTAAAGGCATTTTTTTGGCCAGAGCGACGACAAAACTGTCAGTTAGGAAGCATTTGTGAGGCCACTCGGATTTTGGCTCTGTCATGAATATATCATGTAAAGTTTGGATAGATGGACTGCTTATGGTTGCACCATCAGCGGGTAGACAAACTTGGAAATGGCATCTTACATCCTCATTGAAAATAAAGATAAGACTTCAGTTTCACATCACTATCGTTTTGAACAGTCGTCTCAATGTCCTGACGCAATTATTCTGGTGAATCCACACCAAAGGGGGGAAGCACTGGACTTGAGCTTTGCTCTTCTTAGAGCTCATCAGCAGTGCATATCCAACGGCCGTGCCGGGGTTTGAATTCCGGACACCTGACATGCGAGGCGAACGTGTTACCACTATTCCACCAGCGTGAGCCGGACACATCTGAATTCGCACATCTGAACGAGTGAACGTGTTCGCGCTGCGCTGGGGAACTATGGTGATATCGGGATAAATCTCAGTGTAGTCGTTCAGGGAAACATTGAGAGGACATGCGAATAAGGAGTGTCTGGCGTGTTGAACACGTTTATAAATTCAACCATATCTCTCGATCTTTGGGGTTACTAACTGTTCTGTCACAGGCTTCAGTGAGCCAAGTTGTGATTTGGTGTGATATCGATCATCAAGACAGAATGCGATGATATCCAGTGTTTCCAAGTCTTTGGGCGCACTGCGTTCTTCAAATCTGTATGGACTTTAAGGCTTCAAAAGGTGGTATTTTGACTCTGACGTGGAAAGAAGACCCATAATGTTGGTTCTTTCGGTTAATCTATAACTTGCCTTTTCCACCAGCAGAGCGCTCTCCGGTTGAGTATCTTCTCTAATCTTGTATATGACGGAATAGCTTGAATTTTAGAAAAACGCTACTGTTGTTTCTCGAATATTCGTGGGGTTACAATCGCGATACTGCAGTCAGTCAAACCACCAGTCCATCGGGCCATTGTCAACAAATCATATTGGCTAGATAAAGTACCGAATGAATTTGAGAGTTGGGGTGACAATCAGAAGTATCGGTTCTTCCCACTTGTCCATCGCTTCAAAGAACGGTTTATCCAAACTACCATTTTCACCAATTCTAACGAAAATAGTTGTAGCTCTAAACTGTGTCATGGACGAGTTCCTATATTCACGTAATAAATGATGCTACTGGCTTCATGGCTTTCTACCACCGCGTGTATGCTTCACGCTCCTTCAGCCACATAGTGATGGACGCCACATTAAGAGCTATTTTACGGACGTTAACCGATCTGCATCCGCCTAAAGGAAAAACCGCCATGGTCGTGAAAAGCCGATCTCTCGTCAGGAAACATCAGTTATTTATCTCCGAACGGAAACTTTAACCATTGCCGACATCCCGATATGCATCCTATCCGTTAGCTGTGCAGCAGCGCGTCAATCGCTTCTGTTGGTGTCCGGAGATAAGCTGCCCCAATACCTGAACATCACGTCAATTGGACGGATGTGTCACGTGCGGGCTACGGACCAAACGAAGGCATGCCCTGATTGGTAAGTTTTCACCCCCAATAGGCCTTCTTGTGACAGAACTTTTCTTGAAAAATTTGAAACCCAAGCGCTAAGCATGGTCTCTGACCAATTTACTCTGTACACCCACTGAATATACAATACCTTTTTGCTTGTTGATTATAATTTCGGTCCAACCAACGTGCTGAGAAGCTTCCATTCAGACCGCAATAATAGGAAGCTTGCTACTGAGCCAGAACCTTGGGGTGTACTGATAGAACGATAAATATGCACTTCCCCTGGACTTTTGTTTGAGAGAGACTCTGTTACTGAGCTAGCTACCAGACGAATAAGACACAGTTTTGGTATGATTTCAAAGCCACTATTCTTGGTTTACTTCAAACAGACCAGCTTCATTTGAGGTATTACCCACCAAAGTTTACAACGAGCTTCTGCGTGTGTTTATTAATGGGCTTTCAGTGGGCGTCATCACTGGTCCTACGATAAAGTGCTTATCAAAAGAATGTGCGCAAGTGTGCTCAGGTGCTCACGAGTAGTGTTTAGAAGGGGCCCGATTTCATGCAACTACACCACATGCCATTGAAATTTGTCCTGTCCTTGACAAAGTTCATGCATCGTAGGAACCTACAACGAGTGAAGGGATTTAGCCAGTTATCAATCGCAAAAGCTATCGGAAGCCGAATACGTGATCCGAAATTTTACCTCCAAAGGAAAGTTATGAAACAACTCAACTCGATTTGGTCTGCGAAGGAGTTGGCCGCAAAACAGAGGTCACTCATCTGACTTCATGGCCCACAAATCTGACTTTCGGGTCAATAGTTTAAAGATACGTTTCTCGAATTCCACTTCACCGTGGACTTCATTTCGGCGTGGTGGTTCCAAAGCTCGGAACTCGCCAAAATTTGACCTTGAAAGCATGTGACTCCCGTCGGCCCGTTTTTTGACAGCCAGGAAATACTCCACCCTCCAAATCGTCACAGTGACTTCAGGATTAAGTTGTTCACTTACCTCATGAGACATGAGGTGCGTCCTAAAATAGTGTTCACCCTAGGTGCACTTTTGCCAACCCCCATTTGGAGACCTGCTATCAACTGACAATTAATTGATCGCTATCTTTGACTACTCAGATTTTCTCAGTAGCTGTACGCTGTTAAAAATGCATAGTCAGACCTCAGCTCGGACCCACCGTGAATGTAACAAGACTGCGTTGCACCTCATACGTATAACCAGTGAACGGATATGATAAAAAGCAGTGTTTACACGTCAGCTGTATACAATATGGCAATGAGAAAATGGGAAAACTGCGGCCTACGTGACGGTTGGCTCGACCCCGTTTGACTGAATGATCTCTGCGTAGGTTATAGGAGAATAGTGTGACGCATGTGAATTTTCTTCAGATGAAACACGCAAAGCGTTTAGCCAGTCTTCAATGAGGTGTTTGAAGTCTTCAGCCGTCGGACGTAACCTATAGTCCACTTCCCAGGCCTGGCACATCAGATTCCACAGTTCATCATGCACGAGTCTTGGACGGTCCAGTGATGGAGGGTGTTTAGGGTAGGACGAATTCGAATCGGCTGTGATTAGTTCAAGTAACTCTGTCGCAGTACTCACCTGAGAGAATGGCTGTTTTACTTCCAGGTGAAACATCTGCCACAACAGCAGCGAGAATTCCCAAATGTCCGATGCCAAATAAAACATTTGCTCCCCCAATGCTTCCGGTGGGAGTATCCTGAAAGGAAGTTGTTTTCTAGGCGAAATAATTCTGTATGAATCGTCCCGTTGGCCGACAGTTGTTGTTGCTGATGCTGCATTGATTCGAACCGCCAGCCCAAAATCAGAAATTTTTGGAGTCAGGAACTGGTCAATCAGGATGTTCCGCGTCGCCAAATCTCTGTGAATTACACCTTCCGAAGCCAGGTAGACCACCCCACTGGCTATACCGTGTGCAAAGTAGTATAGGTCAAACAGAGTGATGTGCTGTTCCGTTCCTGCTGACACCGCTCTCCAGTTAGACAATACTTTCGGAGATGTTAGGCCAGGGTCGTTTCGTGGAATTTTGGATTCTCCATTTTCGCTATCAGGCCTCCCACCCACATCTGCTTCAGTCAAGCTGTGAACTCCAGAATCATAGGAGTTAACACTTGATTTTTGTCTACGCTCATGATTCTTCAGTCGGTCAACACTGTCGCGGAGAAATTCGTTCAGGCTTTTGTGTGAGCAATATTCAAGTATCAGCAGAGTATCGCTCAGGTCCGTCTGTGTTCCAATCAATACTCCTATCATTTGAGCCACATTCTTGTTTTGGCTCAAGTTAGACAGTACAGACATTTCGTTTAATAGGCATGTCAGACTGCTGGCCTCCTCCGAAGCTGACTTGATAGCAACAGCAACTAAACTGTCATCAGAATTAATCGTGTTCCCAGACTGGCGATAGGTCCTCAAGAATGCGGGAGAGAGCCATCCTTTGCTAATTTGTCCATAGTGGCCTAGACCGATTCGAAATGAGGACGTTTGTAGGCAGCATTGTGGAATTGCCCAATAGGAGGCAGCCTCGAAAGAGCCTAGCAGACTAGAAAGAGCATGCATCACTGGAGTTTGGTCTTTTTGAAAACTGATCGATACCTTTTTACCCTTCTTGTATTCCACCGGTTCTTTATACAGTATATTCGGGGTCCGTTTTAAAACGGTTCCATGTTTTAGCGCTGTCCTAGCTGAACGGTAATACCATGCTGTCGCAACACCCAAAATAACTGCGACTATGGCCGAAAAACCGACAAACAGATATAGTACACTACTTCCACGAAGACCACTGACAGCCACGCGTGGTAGACTACGAACGACACTCACTGTACGAAACTTAGTCCCGGCAACATTTGTAGCGTTGCATCGGAATGATGAATTCGACAGTTCCACACTCGTGGTCAGATTGCACAAAGTGAGGTTTTCGAAAACATTCCTGGCTTTGCATTCTTTTACAACGAATGTGTTCTGCACGCCTATGTTACTATTCAACATTTCCCACGCGAGGTCAGGAGCCGGTACACCTGTTGCGGAGCATGCAAGGACACTAACTGCCCCGTCCATTAGGACTGAAGTTTTGTTGGGTAAAAGGATTTCCGGTGAGATCGGACGTTCAATACTGATGTCTAAATCCACCTGACTTCCATTGAAGCTACAACTGATGTGATGCTGATCTCTGTCTGTTACGTTCCATGTTTCCAGTACCCTTTGAACTCCCCGAGATAATGGCGTCAAAATCCATGTGGTTTCCGAATCCTTTTTCGCAATGGTTTCAAATGTGACATCTACCGATGGCCATAACTGAGTGGAAAGTGGCGATTGGATGGGGGGTAACAGTCCGGAATCGATTAGACATGTGACCTTCACAGGGTAACCCCGAATGATAAGAGCTTTTTGTCGGAACTTAGTAGACCTTCCACGAGGTATAATTGTTACAGTATCTGTAATGTTTGGCTGTTGCACGTTCAAAAGAAGCAATTCTTCCGGGTGATATTCAGCTGTCTGTTGCGAGGAGGTATTTGCAATGAGATCGTAGTCATATAGCCGTGTACACATCTCATATTTCTTGCTCATTGGTTCTAACCAGACGTAATTTCCTTCGTAATATCTTGTCGAATGACCATACTGTACAGTCCAGTTATAGCTTGGCAAACTGTTGAGGCCAACTTCTTTCCATATCGACTCTTCTTCGAATGAGTGCGTACAGTTCAGTCTAATTGGCTGAAATACGTTTCCATGAAACCCTTCAATTTGTGGCTTTCCAGACAATGAACTGGCCGCATAAATTCGAAGGACTTTGTGAAAAGCCCCATAACCAAACTGTAGTCGCCCGAATACGGAAACCGACTTTTCACTGTGGTTTAGTTGACAGTGCCATTTATCTGTCCAGCGAGTTAAGCTAATCTTCATGCGGTACTTCCTTCCTTCAAACGGAGATAATTGCTCCCAAGCACACTCGGGCGAGCCACCCACTTCGTGGTTGGTCCAGTAGAGGACGGAAAAACCAGACTGACCGGGAATGAGACGCAGAAACAAGTTATTTGGCTCCGTTGATCGAGTGCCGTTAAAATCAGGGCCAAATGGCAATGGATCAATCTTCCAAAGCAATTCTTGCTTTGAACTGTTCTGCTCTGCAGACTGCGGCGCTACCCACACGATCTGGCGATTTGCTGGTGCCAAACGACTTTCAGTAAGAACATCACATTCAATCGATAGCAGGTTTGATCCGACTGGTGGCAGGTTAAAACTACTCACAGAGTAGACTTGCTTTGGGGCTGTATTGAGGCGGTTAACTGGCAGGCACCTGACCGACTTCCATCCGTTATCCTCGGAGTCATTCATGCTCGATTCCAGTTGATCCAGCAGAGGCTGAGAACAAAAAAAACAATGCAATTTTTAGCTGATTAGATGGGAAGAGAGTCCATATGTATGGATAACGTTTCAACAGGTGTCATCGGTTGACCAAAGCAGAGTGAAGAGTACTGCCTGGAGAGTTCTACATTCCTTATTGGATCTAACCTGACCTCATGGTGAATCCCCCATGCGCTTGCGTACTCTGTACATGTCCTTTTGATCTCCACTTGTTTTGCCCATATGTAGCGGCCTTTAAGCTTGCCGCCGATATACTAGCATGTGTGTGTGTGTAAATGTGTGAAACTGACCTAGGTACGTGCCCCGTTTGCTGAGCCTGCCCTGACTCGTTTTGTCATGGGTTCCGTGCGATCGCACTGCCAATCAGGATCACGAGGCTGTTCTCGGAAGGGAACGACCGCAACCCGCACTAAAGAGCTAACATTCCACTCCCTGTTGTTTGGTCTGCGGACCTGGTCACTGCACTGCACCTGTCAGTGACAGGCTTGTCTACGTGTTGACGCCACGAACAGTTGAGTTATGTTGTGTAACTTTGCTTACTTGCGTGTAAATAGTACTACAGACATTCGAACCCAATGATTCCTTTTGATATCCGGTATTGTCGAATCTATGTGTCACTGAGGGTTTCTTATCAGGAACCCCAATAATTGAAGAATTGGACATCAAGACCGCCGGTGAGAATGATGATGATGATGATGATGATGATGATGATGATCGTGTCATCAGACACAGGGAGGAATTGTATGTTTAGATGACAAATCGTCCTACCTTACGTTCCATCTCAAGCTGGTCTAATTTTCAGCGAGAAAAGCAACCCTAGAGGCTTCATTTCAAGTCTTTTGGAAGGGTTCTGAACGCACCGCTATAATTCCGTGTTCACTGCAGTCAGACACTCATTGCAGGGCACGTTTCATTCTAAAAACACGCATTCCAACTTGCTATCTTGGTTCATAACCGAGATTGATCGGAGTGGGTAATGTGACTGGACTTGTCTTTTCTCCAGAAAATAACAAGAAAATGTCCATCGAAGTGCTTACGGTAAATAGTCGTCAAAAACAGATAATTTTTGTAGCCTTTGTCATCTAGTAGCGTCTTGTACACAGTAACTTGCTTTGGCATCTACTTCGTGAAGCATCACCAAGCAGTCGGGGACTCGAAAGCCTCCATTCTACTCCTTCATCTACTCTTACACCAACCACTGCGATATCTTAGTAAGACTGTTAGCATGGTACCTACTCGGATATCCTAGTTCCAAGCGGTATAAATTGTTACGCTGTGGAGCGCCTGTACGATCATTGGTAACAGTCCCACGTGCGCTTCGCATTTGCGATAAATGTGCGCGTGACGACGTGGTACGTGTGCGTCGAATTTAATGTATGCAATCCCGTCGGCCTTAGTTACGGGTGAGATAACGAACGGTATTCACTAGCTGAACAAATCTGTTCACGAAATCTCTGGTCAACAATAACAAGCCAAGTGTGCAGACGTGAACACAGAAAGTCGATCGAATAGAATGTGATTTATTGCTTCATTTGACACGATAGAATTTGTCGTGTTGGTGGATGCGACCAGGTCTAGTTAGGACAATGCACGTTGTAGATTTATTTATCTTAGTGGATGGGTGGATCAGTAAGTGAGTTTTTCACTTTGTTCTGAATCGTAACGTGTAGCCAATCATGTGCGTCATTCAAGGTAGGCGACAATGAAGAAAACTCAGACTGTGAGTCCCTAGCATAAGTGAGCTGTCAGCGTAACACCGAAACATATGCGATCATCTGATACCTGTTCACACGAAGCGCCAGTGACCAATGGTACGGAAATCGATTTGTATACAGCTGATTTACGGTATAGGTCACACCATGTCCAAGGACATCATGTTTTAAAGGTGTGTCCTGAGATTGGTGTGAACAGAGAAAAATCGTGGGTTTTTTGTACAGTTTGGTTGTTACAGATCCCAGAAATAGAATATTTATCGATAGGTTGGACGCGATCAATCGAGTAACTTAATCGATACTTCTGAATCTTGGCTCTCAAAAGTTTCAGAGCTGAAGAAGTTCCATACCAAACAAACACAAATAAGATGATGGTACTAGAGAAGCATCAGCATTCAATGGACTGGATGTACAGTAATACTTCATTGGAAAAAGATGTCGAAATCGCTATTCTTTGTGAGAAATCCTCAAGAAAATTCCACCTTGTTGACCATAAATTATCATAAAAGTGAAGTTTTGTTTTCTTCTCAGAGATCAATAATCCTTTTAATTGCTATTTAGAGTAATTTATTTCATTATTTGGTCCTTGTTCGGATTTATGTTCAAATTACCGAAGTTTAGGCAGTCCTGACATGGTTGTGTCAAGAAACGGGGAAGAGGTGGTCTTTAATAGAGTTATAGACTCATCTATAAATCAACTTGGCGCCAACGGGAGACTCGAATGAATATCGACTTAGTTTGCCATTCGTGCTGGCCTTCTTGGGTCAGAAAAAGGGCAAACTGAGGTTTCGATCTCACTTTACCTCATCAGCAGTCCTGCTCATGACCACGCCCTAGTTGGAAATGCGTCATATGACACGCCGGTGACACCATAAAGGTGACTACTCACAAGGTTACTGAAACTCATCGATAGACGACGACCGGTTTCGCCCTTCTGTTTCGGGCTCATCAGGTAGGCGCAGTCCCCGAGGTTCCGTCAACCTTATGTTCTACTTGAACCCAAGTTAGACTGTGTTCGAGGAATACACTCATTTAAAAATCAAATTGGTTTTCACGAGGTACTCGACTAAATCTATCGTTTACGATATTCATGGAACAATTCATCTGAGTCTCTCGTAAAAACCAAATTGACTTGCCATTGAGTGTATTTGACACCAGTTGGCCAATGCGAACCGTGTGCACCTGAATTATGACGTCGGGACAGGCAACCATATTAATCAACTTGGAGTTGCGCAGCTGTTGAAAGAGAAAAAACCCCCAGATCACAGTTCCTCGGACTAGCCAGGATACTCGCTTTGCGACATGAAGAATACGATTCAGAGGAGAGTTAGGTGGATACGAATCTGGCAAAAACAGTGAATTTGCCCCAGAGAGAGGACCAACCAAAAAGGTCCACCTACGTAAACAGTTACGCCTCCAAAATAATCCGGCCTTCTTGGCCATAATTTAGTCGGAAACTCACACAAACATATTCCGTGTTTAGACGATCTGGACCGAGGGTGTTAGTGTTGTTACCAGATGCTTTGAGCGTCATGTGAACATTTGGAAGACAGCGATATTCCAACTAAAACAGTTCCGTATATTCATGATTGTTTAGCTGAGTACTCATATGTTTGGGAGTAGTAACGACCTAACTGTCATTCGTACCACATACCGTTTAGTCACCAGAACGCGCTGAGTTCGACCAGAGGTAAATCTTGAGTGACAGTGCTTGGTTAGTTGTTAGGATAAGCCGGTTTTGGGTCTGGCGTGGAATTATTCGCTCAGGAATTCGTCACCTACAGCTACAATTGTGGACTTGTGTGAATGTGTGAACACACGTCACTTGGGGATTTATTCGCTTGCACAGTGCGCATACGACATCACTCTGTCAATTCGTTGAGGTGATTTCTCCTAAACCGAACCAAGCTTAGAGAGCACAATATGACTGCAAAAATTTTTACAGATCTTGTTATTCCAGAATTTTATCAAATTACTTGACTTCGGTTTTCAATTAGCATTTGTTACTAATTTTTTAAACGGTATTTTATACCACTACTACTATAATTCAGTCTCGATTCATACTACTTATTTCGTCATCCCACACAAAATCCATTCATGACCCGCTGCGCTCCACGGTTACTTCGGCTGAATTCACAAGTGATTAATCGTTCCTGCCTGAATCAGTCTGCTAATTTGTTGACGTTGAAATATTCAGAGCTGTGAAGTAACTGAGAATGAAATCAACTTGCGATAAGTTAGTTGGGCTGGTGATAAACAGACCGAGCAACAAACTAGTACAATTCAGCGGCAACTTAGTACGGAGATGAACTAGAAGACCAATTTGCTTGGGATACGTCGGTCAGGCAATGAACTGTTGCGCGGTAGATTGGCTAACGATAAACTAGGCCGCGATAAACCGGCGTGCAATGAGTCGACCACGACGAAATGATAAAGTGTCGTCCTTTTGGGACTATGTTCGGCAGTGCAGCAGTCAGAAATTTCGAAAGATTCCTTGTGTTGTGCATTCGGAGATGACAATTTTTGACAAGAAAAAAGCAGCTGAACTTTCACCATTCCTGAGGTAACAAGTGCCATTTTCAATGCAAATGTTCACTCTCTGTTTGTTTTGATGAATGCATTCGTTAAATGCTGAGAAAACTCGTAATTGACCCACTGATGATGAGTGACCTCTGCACTAACAGCCCTGGATGTATATTTGAGTTTTAAGCCAATTTATGATTTGGAACACCGAATCTTAACGAAATGCAATCGCTCGCAAACTTGGTTTTAATGGGAGACTAAAGCTGGATCTCGCCTGTATGATATACTCCAACTGAATGTGGCAAACGAAGGCCGCCTCAGGTTCCAGTTAGCACGATTTTCGAGATATCGAGGCAATGCCTCGACTGAACTCAACTGAGACTCCTCAAAGTTTGCCTGCTGCTGTTGAAAAATAAAAAAATCAGTTCTTCATGTGAAGGTAGCATTGTGGAGTTCGATTTCCAAGTGTTCCGTCGCCAACTTGTTGTGAACCACAGTCTCCCTAATGCCTTTTTATTACCGTGACCCCCGGTCCGGATAGCCGATTGATAACCTGGGGTGCTTGGCCAAACCAGAAAAGTCAATGAACGTGCGAACCGGCTGATCTATCGAGCACTGTCGCGCACAAGCGGGTCAAAAACTGATACTAAGACTACAACTCATCTGTCAAAGGCAAGTGAAGAACAACCAGTGAAATCTGTCTCAACGAAAGTGGTTATTCCATTGGCTGTTATGTAGTCCTGTTACGTTTGGAACTGCTCC